ATTCTCAGTCTTACACGCAAGGTAGTAACGTACTCCGTTCAGGTCAAAGGCAGTGATCAGGAAGGGTCCGTCCAACGCCGGCCCACTCGGTCAGCTCTTGCTGGATCCTCATCGGGGCACTGCCGCAGTTCCCTGGCGGGGAGGCTCCGCCCAAAGTACCGGTACCTCTACGGTCGCAATACGTACCTGAAGGCACGTCCCCGGTCAACTTTACGCCAACCCGCCTTGGGAAAGTCCAGAGAACCTCATCAAACTCTCTTTCTCTCGCTGCATCTTCTGCTTCCTCCATTCCTTGTCTGGTCATTCTTGGCATCACAACTCGCATCAGGCCCGCTTGGCGGCCAATGAACCTTCCCAAGGATGTGGCCTTTTGTCCTTGACTTTGTCTGGTGCGACTGACCGATGCGCCGGGCATCGCACAGCCCGGCGTGCCGCTGACTGTAGTTCAGGTCTGCAGACAAATTTGTACGACGAACGTCTGATGTCTCGGAGGCACAAACGCAATGTTCCATGTTCCTTCACCAACGCGCATATGAGGTCTATTTCGAGAAGACGACGAAGCCTCTATTCATACCTACCTGACCGTGATTCCTAATCCTGTCTTCTAGCCTTTTCCTGCATGTCATCTCTAGGCAGCTAGAGCTTCTGCTACCTTACTTTGAGTAGGGCTGAGGAGAAGGAAGGAAGACTGCTTCCGTCTTGTCGATGGTCTCATCTTGACCCTTGTAAGTGCTACCGTTGCTTTTTGCTCTTTCTCGCTTCCTCGGAACATCGGCCCTTGAACATATAAGCTTGTTATTTCTTTGTCGCAGCTTTGACTTACACCGTAATTGCAGACGCCATTCACGACGAGATGCTACTATTTTTGCTAGAGGTTTTACTCCTCGGAGCGCTGCTCCTTGGACTCGTTTACTACTTTCTTCTCTTGCCTCCTAGATACCCGCAAAACATCCCGGCGATACCGTTCTGGGTAGCCCTCATTCCCTTCTTCAAGGACGTTGACCAGTCGGACATTTTCCGTCAGTACATCGACAAGCCGCTGCGAACTCATGGAGCAGTCAAAATTTTCTTTGGCGCGCAATGGAACATCTTGGTACATCGTCCCTCGTATCTGGTTGAAATATTCAAAGACGAGGATTTGTACGAGAAGAGCGGCAACCAGAAGAAAATCCCACACAGCGTCCTGGCAGAGTTCCTTGGTAAGTGTTCTTTGCCACCCTTGGTGCTTCGAAAAATTCTAACTCGGAAACAGGCGACAATATTATCTCGGCAAGAGGCGACGTCTGGAAGAACTATCGGTCGGTCATCAAGCCAGGCCTCCAGAGGACTTTCGATGGCGAAATCATCGAAAGCAACGCAGTCAGCCTGTGCCGTCTCCTTCGTGAATCCCAAAAGCGGGCCGGCAGCGGAGGCGGTGGCGTTGCTGTGCAGGACCTGTTGCAGCGGTATTCCGTCTCCAACTTCACCGAAGCCGTCTTGGGTACGAAGTTGCATGTAAGTCGCCCTGGCCCCCACGACAAGACCGAATCTAGCAGGGGTGTTTCGCAGCGTGCTGACCGCAGCCGATTCGTCGTAGGCACTCGACAGGGCAGATGCTCCTATCAATCTCCTCCAGACGGCGGTCAAGAGGGAGATCTTCAAGCCCATCTTTATGAGCTTTCCATTCCTCGACAGGTTGCCGCTCAAGTCTCGCTTGGCGGCCCGACGCACTGTGGGCCTGTTCAAGAACGAGCTCAAACGCGCGCTGCAGGCGAGCCACCACATGCCCATGGAGAAGACATCATCCCTGTCAGACCAATCCGACGACAAACTAGGCCAGCGCATGCTCGACGCCAGAGCATCGGGCATGTGGGATGAGAAGCAGCTCCTCGACAACCTCACCGTGTCATTCGTGGCCGGTCAAGAGAACCCACAGCTGCTCATGATATCGAGCCTGTATCTTTTGGCGAAACATCCTGTAAGTCAGCAAACCTGCCCAGGCCCGTGCCGTCTCACGCGTGCATTCGTTGCTGACAAGACTGGTGGGGGGTTAGGAGGCGCAAGAGGCTTTGCGCCAAGAAATCCTTTCCAAGGATGCCAAGTCTTCAGCAGATCTGGCCAAAGAAGACATGCCGTATCTCACCTCGCTCATCTACGAGTGCTTGCGCTTGTTCCCTCCCATTGGTCAATTGATCAACCGGAAGGCTGCGGAGACGGCGCTGCTAGGCGGCGACGTCGTAATCCCAAAAGGGACATATGTCGGCTACCACTGCTACTCAACAAACCGATGCCCGACTGCGTGGGGTCCCACAGCAGACAAGTTTGACCCCGGACGGTTCGTCTCACAAGTGCACATCCTTTGAAATATCGTGAGGCTCATGTTTGCAGGTGGGGATCATCCTCAGAAGTTATTCAGCAAAACTACCGCCGCCGTCGGGTAAGGGGGGAGTGGATCAGCTTTCATGGTGGTAAGACAGACTCCAAAGAAAGAGTGGTGAATCATTCTACCATGATGGACCTGCTGACTCTATCTCAGGCAAACGCGCGTGCCTCGGAGAGAAATTCGCAATGTTGGAAATGAGGACCACCCTGATCCAGCTGGTCCGCGAATTCTCCTTCGCTTTGGACCCGATGTGGGTTGACCGCAAGACTCCAGTAAGTTTAAGCCTGTTGCTGCCTATGTCCCCGCGGTAGACCGAGTTCCCCACTCTTTCCAGAAATTCAGCGCTGACGAAAGGCTTCTTGTTCGCTTTTTCTCCAGGCCGGTCCCCTTTATCCTCGAGCACTTCGGCTGGTTTTGATAGACAGGGTTGACGATGAAAAGAGAGTCGTGAACTAGTCGGGCCTGGGTGATGCGCGGGTTCGGGCGGTTTTGGGTAGATTGAGTTTTGATTTGCTCTCTGGGGGTTTAGATAGGGTTACAAAGTTTGATAATCATAGTGATAATAAAACGCTACTTTCCGATGAACAGGTACTTCCCGCATCATCCCTGCCCGAACTCTCGGCTCCCCATAATTAAGAACCAGGGGCTACGCTTCTAAATTAATCGACAAGCATGATTGGAGAAGGCCGCTTCGATCTTCGTCCAAATGCACCAGAAGCGAAAGCATGCCGATCCACCCAATGGAAAGCAACTATGTCCAAGAACCTCACGTCGACCCGAATGCAACTCCAACTTTCGAAAAGCCGCAATCCAACGCCAAGAAAGCCGCGCCATAGTCGGTGCATACTGCGTATGCTCGCTGCGGTATCTTGCGGAATCTCAGCAAGCTGCCTGCCTGTGCTGCGGATATGCAAACTGCGAAGTACAAATAAATATTTGCACTCGAGTGGGAACCACCTTTTTTTTCGCGCGTGAGGAACCGGGGCGGTAAATTCTGTGGGAAAATCATTCGTTTGCCTTTTTTCGCAAGAAATGACCGCCATGCGGCCCATGGAAGCGCAGCCTTCGGACTTTCGTGCCTTGGCTTTGCCCTGCCCTTCCCTTCATAACCCCTGCCAGCATGTCCTTTGTGAGTTTACCGAAGTCTTCGAAAATGAACAACGACGACGCCAAGGCCTGACAGCTTTTGAGCTAAGAGAAATATGGCAACCCAAGACCGAGATGTAAGGTTTGCTGCTTTTTAGCGCGAAGGTTCCGCACGGCTGGTCCTTTAAAGTAGTGGAGTGTCCTTGGTTTTGTTGCCTTGGCCCCAAGGTGATCTTAATGGCGTGATGTTAATGGGATTTGATTAGTCGTGTTCGTTCCTTCGGATCAGAAGCCTTGACTTATTCTTGGTATGTGCCGAACAGCGGTTTTTTGTTCATTGCTCTTGGAGACACGTCTTTTCCAACATCTAGACTGGGCCTCTCCTCTCGACTCTCGACCAACGACAACGGTCGTTGAACGATGCTGGCAAACGCCCCGTCGTACCCCCACTTTCCATGGACACTTGAATCCTTGCTTGCTTCTCGAGTGGCTGACCATGGAGTTCCATCATCAGATGGCCTTCCTTGTGTACGAAGTAAGTAGTATGCACCCCAAGCAGCGTATTCGTACCTGTACAGAGAACAATGGGCCTGAACGACCCCCTGGTCACAGCTCGGTGGGGACACAAGACCTGGATATCTTGTGTTAACCTTAGGAACTCGGTCTTTCTCAGCAAAGGGACGAATGCGAGTAAGAAAAAATAGCACCAAGGGCCCCAAAAAGGAGAAACCAAGGAAAAAGCTACGTTCCCTCGGTTCATCCGCATGCCGCCCGCTACAGGCATCTTGTTCATGCCCCCAAGACCCAAACTGCGGATAGCTCCTTCTCTTCTACCAAGCATTGGCCCCAGTCCTGCTGCTGCACTTTGTACATGTACAACGATCTTAGTTCCTTCTCACGCATTTCTCCCAAGTCGGGCAAAGCCTTGATTCAGGATTCTTCGGTGATCCCATATATGCAACCTACCTGTGGATTAGACTAACTGAAGGCATCATCCCCTGTCCTGCCACCTCCTTCTGCTGAAGAACTTCTTGCTAAACCCTCTTCCTTCCTTCGGCAACCATCGGGGCTTCCTTGTGTATCTACAGCCAGCAACATCTGTCTTATTTTTGTTCTTTCCTGTGTTGAGCTGACAGTAATCCCACCTGCGTTGAAGCGGCACAAACGCATACCAACGCCTCGTTTTCCTCTTGGGTCTGTCTTGGTCGTACGGCGGACACATTTCACAGCCCACCTCAATATTCCTCGAGGTGGAGGAGGACTCCTTTCTCACGCAACATACCTATCAGAACATAATCGTACCACATGAACCCAGAGCAGCGTCCAATCGGATTAACCAAGCCCCCAAATCAAGACTTCTAGAAGTATTGGTGCTTCCTAGAGTCCCTCGATCACATTATTGTGTTTAGTATTATAATAACCCCCTCGTCGAGAAACCACTAGGTTCCCTACCTAATCAACAAGCCACGACATCACCAAGATCCTCTATAGTTCCCTAATCACTATTCCAACATCAAACGACTCATATTCTTGATTCTTTATTATTTTCACAATGGAGTTCTCAAACGACGGCACTTCCATCTTTCACCGGTTCCAAGCCGCCTTCGTCCACGACGGGCAAGGGCAGCTGCTGTACTGCACCGGGCCGCAGAAAGCCTGCGTGCAGCAGCATTGGACGTCGTCCATCAGCCACAAACTCCACAGCCAGAAGTTTCAGACGGCAAGAGAAACGATAACGACAACAAGCGAAGGCGTGTCCACAAATCTCGACGGGCCGTTTCAAGGCTCGAAACTCTATGAGATGCAACGGAGCGGTTCACACACGACGGCGGGCCTCATCATCGACGCCGTCGCTACGTCTCAACAAAACGTAGCCAGCGCACAGTTTGATGACTTTTTCGTGCAATTGCTCTTAGACCAAGCCGACTTTGCCATCCGCGACCATGAGCATATGAGTTGTGGGGTTTCTGCGGCCTCCCAAATGGACGCCACATCCGAGATCGTCAGCCTGTTTGATAGCTTTCTCAGGTATCAGGGCAAGGACGACCAGTGGGAAGCGAGCGGCAAAGCGTATTTCACGGAGCGTGTTCGACACTTCACCTCGCAGCATGCCAGAATCGAGCTCTGTCTTCCTGCGTTCCCGTGTAAATCGTCAAATACCAACAAGGTCCTCGGAAAAGCCCCTGACCGCGGGGAGCAGCTCGCTCTGGAGCGGCTTCACGAGTTTGTAGAGGCTATTGAGAGGGTGTACGAGCCCGGTGCCAAGATGTGGATTATCAGTGACGGTCACGTCTTTAGCGATTGCAGTAAGTCCAACAAAAGAAATGGGAGGTGACGAAAAAGCAATTCTACGATCTATATAATCTGACATCTCCCACTTAGTCGGAGTCGACGATGAAGATGTCGATGTGTACGGCGAGCAGTTGAAGGAGATGAACCGCGCAGTCGGCATCAGCAGAGGCAACACTGACAGAATCGGCTTCAAGTCGCTCGTCGACCTGTTTGAACTCAACGAGTCAAAGTCGCAGCACAAGCTCCCGTCGCTGTCGCAGGATCTCAACATCCCCAGCATAGAGCACCACGTCGAGACGAAGCTGACGTTAGAGGCAGAGCTCTGCAGACGGATCCTCATGGCTGGCTGCCAGCCCCAAGAGTCTGCGGTGCGAGCCAAGATCAAGTCGCAAAATCCGGCCATCCTAGCTCTTTATCGTGGGTTCTCGAGGTTCATGCTGGAGGACCTCGAGCTTCACCCTTTCACCCTGGGCATGACGCGAAGTCAGAGGAAGAAGTTGTCACCCAAGGTAGCGTTTGAGATGATTATGGTAAGCTTAAGTTGCTGCACCAATGATATTACGTTGTGCTTCCCCTTTTGTCTCAGATCGCTGACTATATGAAACAGAGAAACCAAGCATACTCTAACCTAGTTGAGTTGCTTCTTCCTAATCACGTCCGTCTCTCTATTCATGCGTATGTTCTACTCCAAACATTTCTCTTTGCGCCTTCGTGCTCGAGTCTAATGATTCTCAATCTAATAGTCACAACAACGCCGGTCCCAAATTTGGGATTCAACTCTTCGACCCCGCCGTCGTCCGCGCCGTCGAGGGCCTCTCACCGGACGGTACGCCAATGACCTCCCGTGACCTGCTGCATATCCCGACGCCGTGGCACAACTGCGTCGTCGAGGTGGAGGGCAGCCCTTATCTCCTCGTAACCAAGGCCAGTGTACCGCGCCAGGCAGTCAGCTTGGGCGCCGTGACCAGTGAAGTCTCTACCAAGAATGCGCCCTGCTTCGTCCTCCGGCCGAAGAAAAGTGGCCCTGCAGCTTCTATGGAAAGTGACGCGGAGAAAACGTTGAAGGAACAGGAAGAAGTTGTCGTGGCGCCCGTGGCCGTTGCCCAGAAACCTATCGTTACCCCTGCACCGGCCCCAACTCAGAGACCTAGGGTTGCTGCAAAGGGTAAGAGACGGTTCGACTGGATTCGGAGGCTGGCTGCGTTTCCAGTCATCGGCTGGCTAGGTATGATTTTCTATCACCGCTTTGTGGAGACGTTTGTTTGAAATTGGGGTATGAATAAAGATAATGGAGTACCTACAACTTGGAGCATGTGAATTGGACAAATGGGAAACTGGGGTGTTGTATCAGGCGGGGTTCTCTTTAGAGCGCTTTTATGTTTTGCCTTCAAACGAAAACGTCTAATCTTCAATCAATCATACTTGGAACAATACTTGCTCATGTTTCTATACTTATTCCTTGTTCCTGGATCCAGTTCTAGGTCGTTAAAGTCACTGTACTTCACAAAAGTTTCAAGGGTCTTGAGCAAATTACCCAATCCGGTAATGTTCTCAAAAGAGCGCGCCAAGAGGTTCAAGCTGCATCCCTCTCTGAGCAAACACTCAGAAAACATTCGATCCTTACTAGCAGCGGATCTAGATGTGCCGCCTTAGAGATTTAACGAATTGATCTATTGGAAACATCAGCGAGCAACCTTTCTGGAAAACATTTCGCCAATCAGATAGTTGCACAACATCATGGTCATACCCTAACCCCGGCTCACTGATGACGGACGGGATGAAAGACGCGCATTTAGGGCAAACTGCCAACAACGCCCCTCATCTACGGATTTTGTTCCCGGAAACATTTCGATGAAGTATTAGGGGTGAGGTCTCGGAAGATGAAGTTAGGGCCCCCCCCTTCCCTGTGCCACGGAAAGGCGTGTAAGCATGGGAGGACGTCCCAGCGCGCGTCGCGATATAAGCTTGCTCTTCCCCGGTAGAAATGTCCCTGGGTCGCAAAGAGAAACATTGTTAGTTCCCTATGTTGATGTTGATTCGTTTGGTGATTATACATCATCAGGTCCCTTCGTCAGGATGCTCCTCTCCCATGTTTCACCTCGCCGCTCCATCTCCGTGATTGGGCTCTTACTGATCTATCTCATCACAATGGCCGCAGCACAAAATGGAACTCGGACCTCTTCTGAGGTCAGGGAGTGTAAGTGGTTCCCTCTTCACTGCAGTTCGGATTATGAATCCTCGGTGGATTAATTTACATGGCCCTCGTACTGACAATGTCCCTAAAAAGGCATCCCTCGCCCTTCGACGACCAGCGCGACATCATCATCTCCTACATCCACGCCAAAAGCCCTGCCGAGAAACTTTGGCATGATCATCAACCGGGCCTTTGAGATGCTCGACGTCTTTGGACCCCTTGACGCCCTCGGATTACTGGCCAAGAACCACCAAATGAACTTATATCTCATCTCCGAGACAATGGACCCTGTCACCGTCGAGCCCGTTTCCGCTGCCATGAACGCCAAAAACTCGAGTTTCGTAAGTGACGACCCCCTGGTTCTTTCTGTTATTTCCGGGGTCGAAGTAGCGGTTCCCCTCTTCCGACGGAGCATCAGCTTCCGTACCGAGGTTTTGGCCGCCCAATGCTGACGCGAACGACCTCCGCTGGACGCACAGTTCCCCCAAATCCTTCCAACGCACACATACGCAACAGTACCAAAGGACGTTGAAGTCCTCATGGTCCCCGGCGGCCTCTGGACGCGCTCGCCCAACCTCAACGCCACGATCTCCTACATCAAGACGACCTACCCGAGCCTGCGCTACCTCATCTCCATCTGCACCGGCGCCTCCGTCGTAGCCCGCGCCGGCGTGCTCGACGGCCGCCGCGCGACGACGAACAAGGCCTCGTGGGCGAGCACCGTCGTCCACGGGCCGCGGACAGAGTGGGTGGCGAAAGCGCGGTGGGTCGTCGACGGCAACGTGTGGACTTCGTCGGGTGTGTCTGCGGGCATCGACGCGACGCTGGCTTTTATCGAAGAGGTGTATGGCGGGGAGGAGGCGGCGTCGATTGCTGATTTGATGGAGTATGAGAGGCATGCGGATGCGAGTTGGGATCCGTTTGCTGAGAAGTTCAATGTCACGGGTTCGGCATGAGATGAACTGGGAATCGGTTTCTTCTTATTCATGAGGCGCTGGGAATCTTTGTGTCGGGAAGGTGATTATCAAGAGAATGTAGTTAGACTCTAGTAATGTGACTTAGTAATTAGCTACAACTTCTGATATGAACGGTGAGACCAGCAACTCATGAAGAGGATATTCAAATAGAAATGGCCAAGAACCAATATAGAAAGTGATTTTTTCTTAGATAAGAAAAATTCTCTATCTCATGTTCTCTGACTGGGATTATGCAGTTGATATGTTATGTAAATAAGTTCTCTACTAGATCCAAGGAAAGCTTTGTTAGTCTTTGTAATTCAATACTACTAACTTTACATGGCCCTAGACACCAAAATATCGAGTGTTAGGCTTATAGACTCTTCGATCTCGCAGTCTAGTGAGCAACTATACTCCCAGAATGATTTTCCAATGTTGATTAGGCGCTGTACAGTGAGATTTGACACTTAGTATCAACTATTAAAGAGAATTCCACAATCAATCTTTAGGCTAGTTAATAACCATAATGGTAGTGTTTGGATTGCTCTAGTTCAAAGACTTTTATTATCTGCCACACAGTAAATACTTCCCTCAAGCAAACTATACTCAAGAAAAGCTTGCAGTGATTTACTAAAGGGTATACAATTATTGCCGGCCAGAATCTAGTGCTCAACTTGTCACCTGTTTCCTGCTCGAACTCAGCCTCTGCAACCAAGCAACAAGAAACCAGTAGTAGAGTTCTAGCTGAGTTTCTCTCCAGGAAATTACATACAGATGCAAGTCTTCACAACAAATAAACGGCTTGCGATAGAAAACATGATACCCTATGCCTCTGGGATTACAAATTGCAGCCTAGCTTTGTGAAAAGTCCAACTCATAATCAACAAAGTCCTCGAACAGTGTTTCAAAAAACAACGCCTTCTATCAACAATGTAACGAGAACTTCAAATTGTTTCGTCTACCATCTGTCCTATTCGCATCAAACACTCACGTGGGCGCCTCTACATGCGAATTTTCCCACATCACTCATCCCTCCATCAAACATCAAAGTAAGTAAACAAACGACTGCCGAACAGCCAGGTCCATTTGTGTAACGTGAGAAATCAGCACGTGCCGGACGACTCATATCTCCCCCCATGTCTGACCCTCAAACAACTCTCCGCATGATATTCAAACGTATTTCCTTTGCCATAGTGTTCCTTACTCTCAAGTCTTAGAAAAGGTTCCACATCCTGCTGTTACATTATTCGTCATGGTACGAGTAGCATTGCACAGAAACCGCCAGCAGGATCTGGAACAGCCGCCTGCGAAGGGCCGACAGGCGAGAGGCGACCCAACAGCAGCACCAGTCTTGGTAAATAGTGAACTGCAACCGCAGAAGGTCCCAACTCCTGCAAGGCGTGAAGCAAGCTAGTCTCAGTTGTATTACTATTTACGTTCCGCTCACCCCATTCCTACGTTCCACAAAGGTCGTGTCTCTAGCGCCATTCTCACCTGAGCTTGAACAGGGCATAGCTTATATCCCGACATGCTTAGTAGAAGAACGTTATGAACCGGCCCTCGTGCCGTTGCGTTAATGTAGGTAGGGGATTCTCCACAGGTACGACGGTAGCAATGTTGGAAGTCTTGGACATTTGGGAATTCAGAGACATCTCCAAGGAATTAAGGAAAAGAGGGTATTCGTCCATTTCTAGCAAAAGTTACGAGAAGTGTCTGCCATGTGTGTGGGGGTCTTACAGCTACGTGCGTATTTCCAGAAGGGGCGTGAGTTCCTTGATTCCTTCGAGAACATATGGAGCCTGTGTGTTTTAATTTTCTTCCCTGTCTGGTCCCCTTCATAATTATTTGGTATCCATACGTACATACATAGACGAGAGGAAGAGTGTGTGTGAGAGAGAGGGTGGAGAGCGGATCTGGGCCATTAGGATCGCACGCGCGGGACGCAACTGTCCCCATTTGCTTTTTCCTGCAGCCCAGTGGGAAGCCGAAGACGTGCAGCGCAGAGCACAAATGTACGTGCGCAGCATATCAAATTTCCCCAAACAGAGAGAGCGAGGGGAAGGGTTTGCCGGGCCGCATCATCACAGCTGCAAATGCACACCATCGGATCACCGTGACGGACCCCTTCTTTCTTCACCGCCTCCGTCTTCAAGTGCCCGCACGCCGGGGGAAGGGTCCGGAGGAGGGAGGGGCCGGTAGTCTTGCGCCCCTCGCTGCGAGCAAGCGAGCTGGGCTTGTGGCTGGCGGCTCAACAGAAGCTTCCTGGTGAAGGCCTCGTTTAGAGGTGCATTGTGGCACATTTCCGTTGCCCGTTACGGTGCAGCAGCGTCGATGTACAGATATGGAACCCGCTGATCCAGTCCAATCCTCCATCTTCTCGGCCGCAAAGCTAATGAATAATTGGACGCAAACCCTTGACCGCCCCGACCATCGACATTCGCCCTGCGTAGCGCCAACAGACTTCCTAATCTTGCCGGAGTTGCGCTATTCGTCTTTCGTGATAGTTCAGGGTGGCGCGCGGCAGGGCATGCGACTTTGACAGGCTTCCCGGAGGCTCATCCCGCTAGGCGTGTCATCATCGACGTTGCATACCGTTATTCACTAGGAGAGATTAGATGATGGCGAAGGCAACTCGGGGCGACCGGGGGAGTCAAGCCAAGGTGCAAGGGGAACACGAGGGGTGAAGAGCTGCCGCCACGATGCGGCCACGAGACATGCGGCAAGCAAGGTGGTGGCAGTTGCAGGGCAGCGGGGGCCAGGGGTGAATATCTCCCGGGACGTTTCATTGCGTCGACGGCGCGCAAGGCGAAGGATGTATCCATAGGGTTGTGGTGTAGTTGTAGTAGTGTAATAAGACCAACGGCGGAAGCACGAGTTGCATCTCCCCGCTGCGCCGGGGCCGGGGGGGAGAAGAGGCGCCGGGTCAACGGCTACGGCCGCAGACTAGTCGAGGCGATGCGATGCGATGCAATGCGGCTGCACGAAGCGAGAGGGGGGAGGGCGTCTGAGTTTCAACGTCGTTCTATCGGTGCCGCACCCCGGGGGAAAGGCAGCAGGCTTGAGAGTGGAAGGATGCATACTGCTAGTTCCAGGGACCCAGAGATACGGCCGCAACACTTGCAGGGCCCCTCATGTTGAAAGGAGAAGTCATTGGCCAGCGAAAAAAGGTCACCCACGCCCCCCTCTCCATCTAACCTCCATGAAGCGTCGAGACGAAGAGGATATTGTCACCGTTTTGGACTTCGTACGCCTCCTCTCCTTCGAGCTCCCAGTCTGCGTCATTGATGAGGGCAAGGATGCCAGGGCGACTAGAGAGACCTCATTAGCGTTGCATCCAATATAGCTACTCTGCACGTTCATCGCAGATTTTGAGAAAGACTGCAGAGTGGCGATATACGGCTTGCATAGGACAGGCAATATTGGGGTGAGAATAAGAGAAACAGAGAGCCAGGCGAGGCCGAAATGAAGATATGCCCAAGGATGGGGACGGCGCGTGGGTGATGCGACTCTAAGACGTACAGATGACCATCTAGGACGAAAAGCTCCTTTCTGGAGTCCTTCATCGTGTTCTCGCAGAGATAGTTGATGAGAAAGGCAATAGTTGCGGGCTTGCCGTCCTTGTTCACCGCCGGGATGGAGAGAGCGTGACGCCGCTGATCAGAGAAGAGCATCTCCAGGCCGCCGCTGCCCACCAGGTACCACGTCAGTTATGCATTCGTACCTGAATGATCTATGCAAGATACAAATGAAATCATGCTCGGATCGACCCCGTCAGCCTGCGTGGAAAGGTCTCAGGCCAGAGTCCGGGAGACGGTACCGGTCCAGAAGAAACACCTTGCTTGAGCCACAGGATGGAATAGAAGAGAGATGGGAGTACAGAGAGGTGAGCGGAGAATAGAGACTCACGAGAACTCAACGACGACGGCGATCTTCTCCCCCGCATCTGCAGCTTCTGCGGCCATTTCTTTTCTTTTGCGAGGCTTGGTACTACAAATCTCCCACGATACCCAAAGTGCCGGCAGCTGCGAGACGTCGGAGAATAGATGAAGAATGTGAGATGTAATGGTAATAAAGTTTGTTTGCTTGTCAGATTGAATCGCGGCACGGCACGGACAAGAGTGAGAAAGATGCAATGAAAGGAAGGATGGATGGCACGTCAGGCGTCTGTAAGGCACGGGGTATCTTCCATACCTTAGGTACACTGTCTAGTGTTCGGGGGGAGGGGAAGGCACTGAGCCCACGGATCAGGCAGTCGGGCTAGGGGCTCCGATGGGGAGCGCAAGCCTTACCGGATACCTGTGGAGCCAACGGTGCGGCGGCTCAAGCGCTGTAAGGCGGGCAGGCAAACAGGCGCCCCCCGAGAGAGATGCCCCGCCTCCACTAAGAAATTTTCAACTTCACCTCTTGACTTGTGACCCGTGAGCCAATCACATCGCCGCATTTTGTCAACCCTCAGAGTCACTCCTCGACGCAGCATCTCCAAGCGACGACGAAGAAGACGAAGAGAAAGAGACAATATGGCTGGCACACAGCCCTCAATAGAGTATCTGTCAACAGGAGCCAACAGGCAGACTGCGGTCGCCGACTGGAGCCCATGTGGTCTTCTTGCCTTTGGCGCTGACTGCAACATTGCCTTGTGGGCGCCGTCTGTAAGCCCTTTCCCCAGTCCGCTGCTTGATGGATTGATGCTGACGATTCATGAATCAGTCAAGAAGTGCAGAGGGTATCACGACTCTCCTAAGTGGGCACAAGGAGGTTGTCAAAGCAGTCAAATTTCTGCCCCAAGTGGACGGTGAAGATCGCAGGCTCCTCATCAGTGGCTCAGATGACCAAACACTCAAGGTCTGGGCAGTGGACTCAAAGACGAACCAAGGAGAGTGCATTCAGACGGTCCACAATCATTCGGCGCCCGTGAACTGCATCGCCATCCTGCGGTCCAAGGGGACCCATAAGCAGGTTCTTCTGGCTTCAGGGGCTGCCGACGCAACCATCAAGATCTGGAAGCTTGACGGCAGCCAATTACAGCTGCGCCAGACTATCAAAACCGCCCCCAAGTACTTCCCCCTATGCTTGGCTCTCACAGCACTCGACGAGGCCAAAGATGTGTTTGTCTTGGCCGCAGCAGGAACAAAAACGTTTGTGCAAATATTCGTCGCCGCTGCTGACGATGAGACCGCCGACTTCAAGCTCCAGGCTACCCTATCAGGTCACGAAGGCTGGATACGATCCCTGGAGTTCACGTGGGAGAAGACAGAGGCGAATAGTGACCTGCTCCTCGCTTCGGCAAGTCAAGACAAGTACGTCAGACTCTGGCGTCTGCACTTGGGCAAGGAGTTGCCATCACTCGCTGCGGAAGGCTCAGATCCCTTAAGCGGTGCCTATCTGCCGGGCAAGTCCCCCTCAAATAAGGCACACCGGCTTCAATCCGCCGGCAAGGACTTCTCCATTACCTTCGAGGCCCTTCTTCTCGGCCACGAAGACTGGATCTACAGCGCAAAGTGGTTCACTAGCCGCGAAGGCAAGCTCCAGCTACTCTCCACTTCCGCAGACAATTCCCTCGCCATGTGGGAGGCCGACAGCACCTCCGGTATCTGGGTCAGCATGGTCAGGCTAGGCGAGATCAGCAGAGAGAAGGGCGCGACGACGGCGACGGGAAGCATCGGCGGCTTTTGGACAGGTCTCTGGGCACCCGACGGCGAGTCCGTCGTCTGCCTGGGCCGGACGGGCAGCTGGCGTCGCTGGGTCTACGACAACGAGCGCGACCAGTGGAGGAACGCCATCGCCGTCAGCGGCCACACCAGAACCGTCACGGGCATCGCATGGTCCCGCGAAGGGGACTACCTCGTGTCCACGAGTTCGGATCAGACAACACGTCTCCACGCCCGTTGGAAGCGCGGTGATGCCGTGACTGGCGCCCGCTCGTGGCATGAGATGTCCCGTCCCCAGATCCACGGCTACGACCTCAACTGCATCGACACTTTGGGCGCCTCTCAGTTCGTCTCAGGCGCAGACGAGAAGCTCATGCGTGTCTTCAGCGAGCCACGCACCGTCGCCAAGATGCTGCAGACCCTCGGCGGAATCGAAAGCGGCGCACCCACGGAATCCATGCCAGACGGCGCCAATATGCCCGTGCTAGGCCTTTCCAACAAGGCTATTGACGCCGTCGACGACGACCAGGAAGTACAAGCCGACGACCAGTACGACCGCGAAGCCGTTGACCCGGCCACTGTCGTCCGCAAGTCCATGCTCGACATTGACCACCCGCCCTTTGAAGAGTCCCTTTCGCGGCATACTCTCTGGCCGGAGACGGAGAAGCTCTACGGCCACGGCTACGAAATCTCCTGCCTAGCCGCCAGCCACGACGGCAAGCTCATCGCCAGCGCCTGCAAGGCGAGCTCTCTCAACCATGCCGTCATCCGCGTCTTTGAGACGGAGCGCTGGACCGAGGTCAGGCCACCGCTGGCGGCGCACACCCTGACCGTCACGAGGCTGCGGTTCTCCCCAGACGACCATTTCCTCCTGAGCGTGGGCAGAGACCGGCAGTGGGCCGTCTTCGAGCGCGGGAGCGATGGGCAGCAGTATTCCCTCCTCCAGGCGAACCCCAAGGGCCACACGCGCATGATTCTCGACGCCGCGTGGGCGCCTCTGTCGCGGAGTGATGGTAATAGCAGTAGGGTGTTTGCTACGGCAGGACGCGACAAGAACGCCAAGGTCTGGGTTGGCAAAGAGGCCGCAAAGGATGAGCAAGGCGTCAGCAAAATAGAGTTCACCTTGGCTTCGAGTATTGCCTTTGACGGGCCCGTCACGGCCGTCGACTTCCTCGGCAGACGGGGTGCCGGTGGTGAGCTTGTCCTTGCCGTCGGCACCGAGTCTGGCAAGATCTCTCTTTGCACGCTGGCCCCTGACACTTTCCAGCCGGTCGGCACACTCCAGCTTGCGTCGAGGTAAGTTTCCCCTCGTAACTCTGTTTAGTGTAACTTGAACACGGTAGCTGACCTCTCACCTCAAAGCCTATGCCTCCCGAAACCCGTTTCCCAACTCGCATGGCGACCATCAAAGAGCGATAGCAGCACAGACGAGTTGGGCATCGCAGGTGAAGATAGCTCCCTGCGCGTATACAGCTTCACAGGATTAGGCGCGCCGTCCAGGTCCAACGAATGAATGAAATGAAGTCTACGTTTTGAAAGCACTCGTTGATACCCTAGTAGACACCTATAAGACGTTTGAGATCCGAGTCCTATGCATGTATGAATGGATATGAATTAAAAGACACGCGTCGCCGCATGTGATGCGAGTTTATAGTATGTATATGTATATGCCTTTTCGTATCCGAACCTGAACTGAATGCACTTGGTTCATATTAAAAAGAAACCCCCAATGAAACGCCCGCATCAGAAGCGAATAAACGACATTTTCCGCGCTCAACATGCGACACGCCCTTCGAGCTCTTCATCAGGCGGTCCGGTCGTCCATGTCTCGCCATTAAGATCCTCCTGTCCCACTCCCTCGTTCGTTCTCTGACTCTCCTCCCATTCGTTCATTCGGCATGCATCGTTTTCATGTCATAGAAAGTTGCCGACTTGCCTGCAGGGCAAGGGATGCACAAGCCCCTCCTTCATGAAGTGAAGGGAGTCTTTACAACTCCTTGACGAGCTCGACAGTCTGCTGAGCCAGCGCGGCCGCAGTCGTACCTGTCTTCTCGGCCATCAGCACGCTCTCGACGGCGGCCTTTGTGAACTCGACAGCATCTACCACGGTGTCGACGACGGCGTCGATCGGGTCGCCGTGCATGTAGAACCAGGCGCGGCTCATGAGGAAGGCGATGTGCTGAGGCAGGTAGAGGACGGTGGCGATGATAGTCAAGCTGCTGAGGAGGAAGAGGACGGTGTCTGCAAGAAGGGGGGTTTGTTAGCCGGACGGATCTTTCTGGTTTCTGCGAGAGGAGAGATGGCGGCAGTTGTTTGTCGTCGCGAATAGGTTCAGAGATGAAGAGCGAGGGTAGAAGAAACGTACAGAAGATGAACTTTTCCAGGGGCGTGAAGATGTACACGCTGAAGGTGACCTCGATCTGGTACTGCTTCAGGTGCAGCCACTTGCTGAAGGACTGGAGGGCCGACATTTTGTTGTTTTTCTCGTACGTTCTCAGATAAATGCTCCAAGATCTTTTCTGAGATTGAGAGGAGGAGTCTTCGCTCGCTCGGTTCTCGCGGTGTTTGACGGAGGTTGAAAGTCGCGGCGGCGGCGGTCACGGGTTAAAAAAAGGAGGTAGGCGATTTCTCGAAGTCGTGGCAAGGATTAAAAGGTCTACTCTGCCAATTCGTTCATAAAATGTCGTGTTGACGTCTGTCGTACAGAATGCCGAACAACCTCTGTAGAATCCGTCTTTTGCGGCGAGAGGAATCGAAGGGAAGTTTGCGGGATCAGAAAAGGCGAACTCTAAGGATATCGTCCGAGGACGGGGTTTGCGCGGGACGGGGGGTGAGGGAATCTTATCAGTGAAATTGGTGGCCCGCCCACGCGACAAAACACCCAACAGTGACTGAGCAAAGCACCACCGCCAAAAAGCTGTACCCGACAGATCCGCAGGGGAAGCACTGACGGGGAAAGGAGAGAAGAGTTGGGTTCCACAATGCCAGCAAAGTAAAAGTGGGGGGATTAATTTACAGGTCGCCCTCCAGTAAAGACTGAGTAAACTCAACCTCTCATTGGCCGCCTCACCTCCCCAAATCCTCCGAACCAGCAGTTCAGCACAACTTCTCTGATCTCGACACCTGGGCACCTGGGCTAATCGTCATGCACCTCCCGTTCGGCCTCCAGCCGTCCGCCGGCTGCTAACACTCCACATCCGAACCGGGCCCAATGCTGGAGAACTGCCCGGCCCACCACGCGCGCCGTGAAGCAACGAACCTCGAACCTACGAAACCTCACCAGCAAGCCTCACCTCGAACCGTCACTCCATCACGCCGCAACCCACGGACAATGGCCCGGCGCGCGCGATGCCTCCCCCTCTACCCCTTCTAACCCGTCTCCCCCTTCAGGCGGGCGCATCCAACGCCAATGCCTTTATGCGCCGAGGCCCTCCCACGGCGGCGAGGCCGGCGCTGCTGCTCCCGCCGCTGCCGTCACTACCATTGCCCCTCGTCGCCCTCTTCACCACATCCCCCTCCGCGTCGCTAAAGAGGCACCAGATGCCACCTCGGCCCAAGCCCCCTCCAGACTCCGACATCGAGGAATCTTACCTCAAAGGCAGCGGGCCGGGTGGTCAGAAGATTGTACGTGTAGAACCCACTGACCCGAGTCGTACCTTGGGCCTTTCGCTTGTCCTTTTCTACCAACCAATGCAATTCAATGCGGCCGACACTCGAGCCTGATGCGACTCGATTTAGACCGCATGACTGACTAGGAGCTTGCTTCCCGTCATGGTCTTCTTGTACTGACCACCCCACCTTTCCTACAGAACAAGACGAGCTCGGCCGTGCAGCTCAAACACATACCCACTGGCATAGTCGTCAAGTCCCAAGCCACCAGATCCCGCTCCCAGAATCGAAAGATTGCCCGCGAAATCTTGGCCGAAAAGATTGATAACCTGCAGAATGGCGACCAGAGTCGTTCCGCCATTGTCGGCGATGTGAAGCGCAAAAAGGCCGCCAGTGCATCCAAGAAGAGCAAGAGAAAGTACCGTCAGCTTGGAGAGGAAAAAGCAAATAGTGAGGCGAGCGAAGACGGAGCTAGCGAAGAAGCTGTTCAAGACGAGACGAACGGCGACCCAAGCTCTGAGGAAGTAAAGACCTCCCATACGGCTGATCCTAGTTCCATTGTACAAAGTAAAAACCCGTAACATCAAACATTACTTCCTTGCACAGAGCAAAATATGTATCAATAGATCAGTCCATTTCTACTCCTGGCTAAAGCATTCTCGTGAAATTATAACATCACTAAAAAAGCGAGCGTGCGAAACTCGGGAACAGTAAGCAAAGTGTATTGTATGATCGACCTCAGTTGCAGGCGTATCCGCCCCTATACGCGCCCACGCGCACCCTGCTACAAAACAAGGACCAAATCTTTCTGGAGAAGGGTCGACCCAAACTTCTTGACCATGTCAACAACTTTTCGCCAATATAGGACCTGACTGCGGTATATGCAACGCCGTGGAGACCTTGCACCGGTCGTTGCCTCTTTGGAATCGATGTGTTTTCGGAAGGGCGAGAATGTGATTCGGGAAGTAAGACGCTACATTATCATCAGCTCTTGCCGCATGCTGTAGTTTCGCTGCGCCGTCGACATACCTTAGAAGCACTTGCGGTGGACAATGGAGGGACCGCTCTCGTCGTACTCCTGCTTGGAGATCCACATCTGCTGGAAGGTAGACAGGGAAGCCAAGATGGAACCACCGATCCAGACGGAGTACTTGCGCTCGGGGGGAGCGATGATCTTGACCTTCATGGAAGAAGGAGCAAGGGAAGTGATCTCCTTCTGCATACGGTCGGAGAGACCAGGGTACATGGTGGTACCACCAGACTGTAAAATCGTTAGTTACTGGAGCTAGATACTGGAACTGCCGTAGAAACCATACCATGACAATGTTGCCGTACAGGTCCTTACGGACATCGACATCAGACTTCATGATGGAGTTGAAGACGGTGACGTGGATGCCGCCGGACTCAAGACCAAGGACGGAAGGAGCGAACAGAGCCTCAGGGGCACGGAAACGCTCGTTGCCGATGGTGATGACCTGACCGTCGGGAAGCTCGTAGGACTTCTCCAAGCTGGAGGACTGGGAAGCGGTCTGGAGCTCCTGCTCGAAGTCGAGGGCGACGTAGCAGAGCTTCTCCTTGATGTCACGAACGATTTCACGCTCGGCAGTGGTGGAGAAGGAGTAACCGCGCTCAGCGAGAATCTTCATGAGGTAGTCGGTCAAGTCACGACCGGCCATGTCGACACGGGCAATGGCCTGGGGAAGAGCGAAACCCTCGTAAATGGGGACAACGTGGGTGACACCATCACCGGAGTCGAGGACGATACCAGTGGTACGACCGGAGGCGTACAGAGACAGGACGGCCTGGATAGAGACGTAGAACGCGGGGGCGTTGAAGGTCTCGAAGACGATCTGGGTCATCTTCTCTCTGTTGGACTTGGGGTTGATGGGGGCCTCAGTCAACAGGACGGGGTGCTCCTCGGGGGCGACACGGAGCTCGTTGTAGAAGGTGTGGTGCCAAATCTTCTCCATGTCATCCCAGTTGGTGACGACACCGTGCTCGATGGGGTAGCGGAGCGTCAGGATACCACGCTTAGACTGTGCCTCATCACCGACGTAGGAGTCCTTCTGACCCATACCGATCATGATACTGTGCACATGTTAGGTCGCAGCGCAGGAGATGGCATTGCTGCAGCAAGAGATAGACCTACCCATGGTGACGGGGGCGACCGACAATGGAGGCTAGTGAACAGTTAGAATCAACAATCTCGGGTATGGGTGACCGAAATCGTATACCCCTGACGGAGAAGATTGCGGTCTGCGGATGAGGGGGAACTTACGGAAGACAGCTCTGGGCGCATCGTCGCCGGCGAAACCGGCCTTGCACATACCCGAACTGGGAACAAGTCAGAACCAAACTCATTGTAGGATATATTGTATCGATGGGTCATATGCCAATGGGCTATCGCGAGGGATGACGATTGGCCAGATCCCTTCTTGGGCCCAGGAGGCGGAATGGTCGGTGAGACGGCGGGGAAGCTTACCCATTGTCGATAACGAGGGCGGCGACCTCCTCTGCAGAGATATATGTTAGCAAGTGAAGCAGAAGGACGGATATTGATGGACTAGAGCATCGCGACTCCGATGAGGCCAGGGGATGTGAGGCGGCATAGGCGTCGTGGAGCAGGGAGTGAATTGCTGGCAGAGACGGAGATGGCGTCACGTACCTTCCATTTTGAATTAGGATGTGGGTGAGGACTGGAAAAATAGAAGAAAGATGGATGAGAACGAAGACAGCTCACTCGATTCCGGAATCGTAGGAGCGAGATGGAACTGGCAAAAGTCCTGAGCGGATGGCAAAGAACTTGGGAGAGGGCGTCGTTGGGTGGTGAGGTCGAAAGTGGGAAAGGTTACGGGAAGATGAGAGGTAGTCGATTTTGGGTGGAGGAGGGGGGAAGAAGGAGAAGAGTGGGAATGGCAGGCACAGTGTGCGGTGAGCGCTGGCTTTGGCTCCTCGGTGTTTCGTTGGCTGCTGCGATTTGTCTGGCGGGCCAGGTTTCGATGTCAGAAAGCAGCTGGAGACCTAACCCGACTTGTGGGTGAGCAAATGGGCGTGGTGAGGTGGGCAGTGGGCTGGGCAAGAGCGTGGAACAGGTGGCAGAAAGTGGCAGCGCCCCCCGAGGGATTGAGTTGCCGCTTTAACAAAGGAATGGGAAAGGTGGGAAGGGGAGGCTGCGCGTTCTCTCTCGCCTCTTTCTCCCCGTCCCCCGTCCTCTTCGGGGATGGCCCGTGCTTTTGCTCCTTTGCTGCTCGGGGGGGCTAACTGCGCAGGACTGGCAAAGTAGTGTGGTGGGGTACGGGAGGGAACACACTTTCACTCACTCACTCACTCACTCACTCACCCTTTTTTTGGTGATACTGGGGTGCGAAGGCAAAGAGGAACCTCTGATATTGCAGACGAGATGCGCGACCCTCTGAGTATCCGTATTGTCTTCCTTTCTCCGGCCTGGACCGCTGATTCCGGTGGCTAAAGTCGAATTGGGGGTCGTACCTTCAATTTGGTCTTGATGTTGGTGGGCAATGCAAATATCCCGTCGATGCTCGGATAAGTGCACTTTTACTGAATTCTCGGAGCAGGTATCGTATCCGAACGAATTGTTCCTCAGTCGTTTCTTGTTGTATTCAATACAGCAAACAATCATACCAACAAAAAGCCCGTCAGTCTCCGTGCCTTATCTATCACTTCGAACAATCAGGCAGTGAGTATTGAAGCAAATAGCATTCGTCAGCCTATCCGTCACTCACCATCTGCTCTTCAGGCAGCTTAAAACCGACGGTGAGAGATGCTCACCTAATACCCTTCAGCTCTCCACGGTCTCGACCACGGACCAATCAAGCCAAGCTACAGGCCTGACAGTGCGCCTTTCTCACTCCGACTGTGACGCCTCTATTATCTTCAAGGGCATCCCCACATCCACCACCTGCACCCACGCTACGGTCTAATGAGAATACAAGGTTAACCCAGGCCAAGAACATGGGATCATGGAAGCCAGCCTGGCCGAGATCATCTCGCCCTGGAGAGCAGTTGGGCAAGGAGGACAGCGTTGCAGCACGGCAGGTAGCGGACACAGTATCGCGAATCCATCCCATCTCCTCATGGACTGTGGAACGGAGGGCCGCTCCTCGACGCCCACGTGAGACTCTCAACAAGATTCCCGCCGCGGCCGCCTGGTTCATGCTCGATGGCGGCGGGCGGATTTGCGCCAGCGAACCACATGCCAGCCGTCCTATTGCTCGTCCATTCGTCAACGAGTCGTACGTCATCTTGTTCCGTAAGTAACAAAGACACGGACAAAGGTGCCAAGCAGGCATAGGCAATCTATTTTGGTTCACAGCACCATCACCTGCCTCCTTCCCGTCGTCTGCATAGCATACATAGGTAGCACGTCGGGCCGGCGGAAGCAAAGGCGGCGATGAACGGGCACGGAAGCGCAGCAGACGGACCAGGCAATTTGGCAGGTACTTCCAGGCTCCAGGCACCCCGAAGCCGACACCACCGAACGACGGGCCTACCAAGCTGCCTCCTGGCTCCTGCAAGGGCCGTACTCTCATGGACACGGCTTGATGGGGTCGCGGCTCTGGTGGTTCAAATTACGTACCCGCGTATGGACGCCTCTTGCGGGAACGAGAGCCCGGGGTCCTAGGGGGTTAGTTGGCATGGGATTCTCGGATGCCAGCCTCGCATATCGCATCTCGCATACATGCTCTGGGCTGGAATCTCGTTCACGGGCTCGCTCTCGTCTTCGACAAGTACCTGCCGATGCGTGCTGTGTCCATAAATTGTGTTTCGAGCTTTGTGTGGGAAGCCCAACAAGAAACAGCGCGGGCGACAACTACACGCCGTGCTACGTTTCCAGTGTGGCTGAGCTGGGAGCTCCGGGTTGCCGGGCGGCGTCTCCGTTGATCGGGTCCTTTTAGCATAGATCGGATAGGAGAATACGGCGGAAGCTGTAACCTGTCATCTGTGGCGGGGACGCTATGCCTGATTGCTGCATCCTGTCAAGCGAGCCATGCAATATCGACATGAACGACCAGAAAGGCTTTCAGATAATGGAAGGATGCATGGCTGAGAAGCCTGGGGTTATCCAAAGCTGGATACAGCAAATTCGAGTTGCCAGGTCTCGTGTGCTCCAGTGACTTCATCGCCGGAAGGTTGCTCAGCTCAGCGTCGCAATACCTACCATAGCTTGGGTACCTCGAGGAAGCTCTGTCCATGGCCACCTTAAGTTAAAGCGGCAATGAGGGGCAACTCACTTCATGGTGGGGCAGTTGGAACTTTTTTTTGGTTCACGTCTTTTTACCAGCCACCTCACTACAGTAGGAGACTGCCTTCGACCATTCCCTCGACGAGCCCAAGACTCCCGGATCCAGAGTCCGGGAGGGTATCCAATGTTTGACTGGCAGATGAATTGCCAACTCAGCCCATTGCATGATCCCATTGTTGGGCTGTAAGAGATTCGCTGGCCACAAATCTGTCTGCCCAAGTTTCAAAAGACTCGAGCTGCATAAACGACGCATTGAGCTGGCTTTGATCAGGGCTCCTCACGTGAGATCGACGCTAGTCCGCTTTCGATTGCTGGCAAGCTTCTTGAAGGTTCCAGAAAAGGGTAGCAAATCAGAAGCAGCCAGTCAGAGCGGGAAGTGGCTCTTGATAATGGAGAACTTTTTGATGTTGATGAGAGTTCAAGTGAGAGTGAGTGACAGACTGGAAGTTGATAGCAAACAAACTCTACACATCAACACAATACACACTTTTCAGATTTCTCATTAAAACTTGCAGCAAGTTTGGTGAGTCGTCACAAGGTTTCATTATTTAAAGAGACCACTCCAAACAACTACACCTCCAAAAACTCACCGCAAACTATCCATCATGGGTGACAAGCACCTCAACGAGCTCCTCAAATGGAGTATCGAAAACCAAGAAACCAGCGGCGAGAACGGCACCTCAGCACCCGCCGATGCCACCGCCGTAAGAGCGCCCGCCAGCACCCTCAACCCCGAGGCCATCGCAGCCCTCTTCGGCAACGGCCCCAGCGACGCCGAGCTCATGAAGCTCTCCATGGAGGCAATCACCTCCCCGGACCCGGAAATCACACTCGACAACAAGCTCATCGCCTTTGACAATTTCGAGCAACTCATCGAGAACCTCGACAACGCAAACAACATCGCCAACCTCGGCCTCTGGACCCCGCTGCTCTCCTGCCTCGAGCACGAGGCCCACGAGCTGCGCCGCATGGCCGCCTGGTGCGTCGGCACCGCCGTCCAGAATAACCTGCCCAGCCAGGAGCGCCTGCTCGCCGTGGGCGGCATTCCGCCCCTCGTGGCGCTCGCGACCAAGGACGGCGAGGAGGAGGCTGTGAGGAGGAAGGCCGTCTACGCGCTCAGCTCTGCCGTGCGGAACTACCAACCCGGCGCGGACGTTCTCACGGACGAACTGCAGAAGAAGGGCCTGCGTAACGGCAAGGTTGACGCTGAGAACATGGATGACATTGACGAGATTATGAATGCGCTCAAGGCCAAGATCACGGCATAGACAAAAAGGAAATGCGAGAAAGGAATGGGTATGGGGTGGATTTGGTATGGTTAACTTGCATGGACGGCGTTTCGGCGGGTGGATCGGCATGAGGGCTCTTTTGACGTACGGGACGACGACCCAAAGGAACATGGCATTATGGTATTAGACGATCATTATCGCATCAGATGAACCAAGAACATGATCACACAATTATTGCACAGAATACATCGCAAGAGTGACCGTATCTGTTGGTACATTCATATACAGGCTTTCTAAATGTGTTGATATCGTACAAAACGGGATACCCCTTCCCAGCAATGTTCCCCCTTCTTTAATCCTTGAACTTTCCGTAGAAAGGAAGACCAAGAGCTTGCATCAGAAGCCTGGCCTGACGGTTCGAGGTTGCGCTTGTGTGGATAAAAATATGGCAACCTGGTAGGAGCTGCAGAGACTCGTCAGCAACGTGGTCACAAGTCATAGGCAGACGGAATATCTCACCTTGGCAGGGTACATGTCGTAGTTGATCTGAAGCTCGGGAAACCAGACCAGGTCGTCGGGCCTCAGACCGATACCAATACCACCGTTTCCGTCACCAGTGGTCGCATTGACACCGGGCCAGTCCTTGATCTTGGGCAGGACGAGGTTGATCAGCTTGTCAACGAACTCGTACGCCTGTGGACCGTGCATGGTCGTCTTGACACCGGTCTTGTCGCCCTCGCGGATCTTCCATTGGATAACGTTGTTCTTGGTCTTGGTGACCTCGGGGACGTTGCCGCTGATGGACTGGATGACCGAACGAGCGACCTGGAGCGTTCCCGGCGCCTTGGCGGCCGAGGGGATGAAGGTGTGCAGCGATACGGCCAAGATTTCGGGGACGGACCGGCAGTCAATGTTCTTCTCCAACACGTCGAGCTTGCTTCCACCTCTGGGTCCGCGGAGAGGACGGTTCTTGTTGTACGGCGAGGAGTCGTCCCATGCCCTTAAACGCTCCCGTACCGGGGGGTCTGGTGTACCTGGGGGCTTGTGAAGGTAGGTCATCGTGAGCAGGTCAGCAGCGATGGTCGTATCGTACGTCTGGCGCAGTCTGGGGAGGTTGAAAGGCCCAGGAACGAAGTCGCGGGCCGTGGGATCGGTGGAGGGCGGTGATTGAATCGGGTGA